ATGAAGATAACGTTTTGTCTTAGAATCGCACTCATAGCGTGACTCTAATATGTAAGGGTTAACTGGAAGTTTTGCACTACCGCGATTTATATCTTGTTGGATTTTCTATTCTGACATAATGAGAAAAGAGTGAAGAGAGAAAGAAGCGATACGAAAGATAGCAAGACGCAAGATTACGGGAATTCTATCTGATTTTATACAAAGTGCTTGAGATAATTGAATTTTTAAAGAAACTAATTACCGTCATGTGTAATAATTATACTTTATATATCGCGTGTAATTGTATGCAGTAGAGAAAAGAAAATGTTAAACATTAAATATTAAATGGATATTAAATATTAAATGAAATCGAAAGAACTCGGAAATAGAAAGAACTTAGTAAATGGAGAAAAACATCAATTTTATGAATAAAATAATGTTATTATAATGTTTTTTACATTATTATTGATTGTAAAAAAAGTAGATGTGCACAAGAGCGTTTCTGTTTTATCTTGTTTTCTTATTTTTATTTAAAATTCTTGCGATATTTTTCTGTTTTTGTTTCTCCGCGATATTAACAGTAAAAGCGTTCTTAAATAGTTTAGTATTGATAATCGGTGCATATCGGCCAAACTTTTATCATGAATTGTAAATCGTCATTTGGTACGTTAAATAATAATCAATCTATCTCGATTATATTTGACGCCAGGCGGTCCTCCCCCTTGGTGAACGAGTTTTATTTTCATGCCGACACTAAATGTCAAATGAAAATTTCGATTCGCAAAAGTTTGTTTCGAAATAAAACATTATGGCTGACATGAAGAGCTCGCGAACATGCTTGCTTGATTTCGAGGTGAGTTTGCTCCGCCGTCAAACGGCATCGAGAGTCTCACCTTTTTCGCTGCGAAATCTTGATGATACTCAAAGTCTCTATTTTTTGTCAACGAATTAAAGAGTATATATAAATTAGATATTGGATATAACACTCTTAATGAAAATAGCATTATGTGAAAAATTATTTATCAAAGTTGTATTTTGAAAGTGATAATCCTGACGATACCAAAATCGAATGTTATTTTCTCTTGAAAATATTTCACGTAGAGACATTAATTAACCGTTAGACTGGTGGGAGAGACATCTCGGATATTTTTTCGTATCTTTACATTATTGTGATTTTGAAATTGATTTCAACTCTGGCATTAGTGTAATGAAAACCGCAGCGAAATGTTAGGGGAAGAGTGGAAAAGAAGAGAAATAGAAAAGAGAAAGAGAGAAGCAAAGGGCTAATATTGTCAGATTATTAGTATTTATTTCGTCACTTTGCAAATTTCGTCGACGGCGGCATCTTCATCATTCGACAATTTTCTGAATTCTCGCGGTGATCCGCCGGCTCTCGATGTATTCTGCCAATTTATATTTTCACCCAGAAATAATCGCGCACAACGCACACAAGTATTGCGGAGCAGACGAATACGCTATGTCTTGTTCTTCTTTCCTCCCCCGCTTTCTGTCTTCTTCCTCTGCGTTTTTTTTGCAATTTATACTGAGATGCTTAAGCGCTCGCCTTGACCTATCTACTTATAAATGGCGGTCGTTTGTCAGGCTTTGCTAAATTTCCCTCGGTTCTTCGGCCTGCCGAGCCGGTTACAGCTGCGCGAAACCAAAGCGGCTCCGCGCTGTTTACGCAAAAACGTCATTTCCATACGTCGGAATTCTCGCATCTTGCATTAATCCCCATGACAGGACAAATTCGTGTATTAACCCTAGAATGCATTATTCAATTTTTGCTCGAGACGAACGTTACGCGCAACATAATTCAGCACTTAAGCAGTCATATGAATTTTCATGCATGCAACATTCGTTAGGTACTTTATTTCACGCAGCGATATAATATTGATAATGCTCAAAGGACTTATAATTTGACTGAATTTATATTTAACAAAAGAGAAAAGCGAAATAATTTGCTGCAGAAAGAGGGAAAGACAGTAACGATGTACTAAAAATCTGCTTGTCGTTTCCTCGCACCATTTCCGGAAATATCCTTTCCACGTCAAGTCGGTCCATCGCTCGTACGTCTCGGTGACAGCTCGACATCGTCGCGACGTTGCACTGTAACTTCTTGTTCGTTTCGGTCACAAATTAACGCCGTCTGCAAATAGCGATTGTATTGTATATGGCGTGCACGAGCTCGTTCTCTCGAACCGGCTTTGTCGCGAATCTTCTCGGCGACGTTGACGAGAACGACGACAACGACGACGACGACGACGACGACGACGACGACGACGACGACGACGACGACGACGACGATGACGACGACGAGCATAACGACGAGCTTCATCGTCGGTAGACGTTCGTCGCAAGTCTTCCATGATCGCGCGCGTCTTGAGAGACACAACCTCATCCCGCTTCCTGCTACCCTTTAAGATATTCCGCTCGCCCGTCGAGTGATATCTTCATACTGCCATGGCGGTGAATTATTGTCCACGGCCTTTTTCAGTCCTTCAGTTCAGGGAAATTCGCATTCTAGACGCGACATGTTCGCGCGCTACCAGACAAGAATCACTTTTATCTCGTTTTTCGCGGATAAGCAGTGCTTATATGCAATAGTGCAATTTACGTATCTGTATGAATAGAGAGCTTGCAAAATGGAAATATTCATGATAGCTGAAAAATAATTTATCGTGTGTTGTAATATTACAAAAAATTATTTTACAAGATGTATTTATCTCTAGAAATAACGTCTGTAATTTATTTATTACTTCTTAGATTACTGTAAAAGACAAATATATAGCGTTTAATTTTTTCATCAAAGTATTCGCAATGCCCCGAAATATCTTTAATTTAATATGTCGGAAATCAAGGTTTCATAGCTATGTTATTAAGTTGAAGCGGTGTCCGTAGAAGGTGTGAGGAACATATGGAGCTCTCAGAGTTGCATGTTAAATACGAGAAACGCCGATGACGATATCGGCCATATTAATTCAGTACTTTGTTCGGTTTCTTCGCGACGCCTTATCACCGCACTTTCGCGATACGATATGAAAACGAGGACGAGTTGCGCACAGCTGGAAAGGACGAATTTTAACCAACGCACCATACCAATGCATTCTGCTCCGAAATGGATCGTTCAAACGACTTTAACGTGCGTATCGGATTAATTCAAATGCAATAGCAGGCAATTCGATTCGCACCACGTAATTTTTGCAATTCCATCGCAATCTTGATACTCGGTATTCAACGTAAGATAAATCAAATTAAGTGAGAGGGAGAGAGAAATTGATAAGAATTTATACTGCAATCTCATTTTTTTTCAGATACGTCGATGTATATTTTTTCCTCCCTCTGCTTAAATAGTTTTCTGTATACGTTGGTACATTTCTTGTCGCTCTCAGGAGCGAGTTGCGCCAAAAGTGAATTCAATTAAGCAGAACGCGGTGTTTCCAATTTTTGTAGTATTGCCTCGTAACGGATGCAATTGCATTCTTCCGGATTTCATCGAACACATGCACATTCCCACTTGCCGCAGTTGATAATCGCGAATTCCCACCGCTTCTTGTTTTCGCGACGAAATTACGCGGCATTCCGCGTCAAACGCTAGAATTAAGCAATTAGCGATAATAATCGGCTTGCTTTCGTTCCCGCGTCGACTGGCGTGACAAGCCGCGGGCTTGGAGGACTCGAGAAAATCATTGCTTCCGTTCTCGATCGGCCGACCAACTGATCGCGATTAGTTGAAGCGAGTTTCCAGTTTTCCATTTATCAAGCTCTCTCTCTCTCTCTCTCTCTCTCTTTCTCCCCCCCCTTCTCCCTCCCTCTGTTTTATCGATATACCGCACGTTTGAATTTGTCCGGCAATTAGCGCACTTTTGTTTGTCATCCATCAGCTTTGCATTGGTGCGAGAACTTTATTGCTAGAAATCACTAGGCCTTGCCCTTTTTTTGCGGTATTCTAGAAGGTCGGTGCTAAGCGTAATTGAAATACGCGGTTATTTATTACCGGCCGTACGGTGGTATGTAATTAATTGTTTCTCCCGCGGCGATTAAATCTTATCGTTTCCCCCGACAGTGATAGTGTAACGAAGAAAAAGTTGACAATCGTGATTCTGCGGAAAAGTTCTAATAAGTGTTTGTGTCTTTTGAACGTAGAATATAATGGTAAATTAAAAGTATCTTTTTTCGACAATAAGATAACCTTCCATTATCTCATGAGTAGAATAGATTACATTTGGAAGTATCTGATAAATTAAAAAAGTTTTTTTTAAGTAAAGACAAGAATTAAAATTAATTACTTGCTATTTAAGAATTATTGAAATTATAAGTTTTTGAACAGGTTTTATATTAAATAATTAGATTCATCCTGTATATTTTATCATTTTCAACTAACGATAGATAGATGAGTTTTAACCGCTCATCAATATTATGTATATAAGAATTTTCATTTTCTAAATTTAATTGCATTGCGATTGCGTATAGGCCTCGACAATACATTACGATTTATAGAATACAGTTTACTGTTCTTCGAAGTGCCGGTTGATGCTCGTCTTAGGAACTTGAAGTGACGAAGTTATGATTGTTACAAGTTTAAAAAAAGTTTAAAAAAAGACGTGACATTCTAGTAGTTTCCCGTGTCACCTTTTGAACGTTCTCCATCCACGTGTGCGCTCCGAGTCCTTGCGTCAATCGTTATAAACGCGCGATTCTAAATTTACGAGCCAACGCCAGAATAGACAGTGCCTATATTTAAATAGGAAAGAAACTCGAAGATTACGATAATAAGAAGCACTAGCAGATAATTGCAAAGGACATTTTTAAGAACATTTTGTAGATTAGCACGATCTGTAGCGAGATCTCATTTTAAATGTCTAATATATCTAATCAAGAACGTATATACGTGTACAATTATTGGCAATGGCTTTGAATAAAAAAAGGCATCGGCAAATATACGAATCTTGTGCTTATTTTATAAATATATTTTATAATAATCGATATTTTATAAACTTTATAATTTTATTTGGTTGCAGTACGACGATGGCGGGCTGCACGGGGGTTACCTCGAGGGCGGTGGTGGCGGTGGAGGCGCAGGACTATACGATCCACATGGCAGTGCCCGCGGTGTTCCCGGTCTCCATCACAGCCCACACCTGGGAGGTATGGGACCTGCCCACCCCCAATACCCACCGCCTCCTCCTCAGCCGCCACAACATGTTCTCGCGGCGGCAGCTGCGGCCGCGGCCTCCGCGGTGCCAGATGTCCACAAACGCGACAAGGACGCCATATACGGGTAAGTGAGATTTTCTGTACTTTTGTCGTACTATATATACATATATATATATGTATTTTTTTTCATCGGACACGCGTCGAGCGCGTCGCGCAATGCAGCGCCGATCGGTAAAACGAATATTATTGCGCGACGATAACAAACGCGATAACTAGTCGCGCATACTTCTAAATGCAACTTATCGTGATATTATACACTTTTAGCTGCCATTACGACGATCGTCTAATTTGTATGACATAACTTTACTTTTGGATACAAGTGCATGTCAACATTTAATAATTGTGACAATTGCCGATGATAAAATATATGTTGTAACCTGTTTCTATCGTTATTCGTCAAATTTGCCATAAAAGTATATGTCGATAAATGTTCCATTTTCTAAAGCTGGATGTTTTGGCGAGAAACAGGTGCGAGAGCAATCACGGGACGAACTTAAAATGCACATAAATTCGTCGTGGCCATTTGATTTTCTGAATCGGTCTTTACTCGACCTACCTCAACAACTGTCCGTAACGGACAAGTCGTTGCTAGATCGCTGTGATTTCTTCCCGCACTTTCGAAAAGAAGACAACCTTCTTCTTTCTCTTTCTGGTCGGTGATAGAGTTGCTATATTACTATCTATAGTTGCTAATCGCTATATCGCTAGAGGTGCTCGTGCCACGCGCATCGTTCGTATAAGTTGAACACGTCAATTGGCCGTTTTACGGAGCGGCTCGGCGGCCGTGTTCCGCGTGATTTATAGTCGCGAGATGCCCCGATTTCTGATGTACGTCCTAGAACGGGAGCCTCATTATTCCGTGCACCCTGTAATTTGTCCATTCGTCGTGTGCCCCGGTCCGACCCGAGCAGGAGATTCCACAACTTTCTCGGAACACTGCCGCCGCGCCGCGCCGCTGTGCCTCGCTAGAACGAGCGCTTTCGGTGCGGTTACACGTGTCTATACGTACACTCTCCCGCCGGCGAGAAGACCCTACTCCTATCGTGGCGGTATCTCAAATCTCGATTATTTGAAAGATTAATTGAAAGGCGTTATATAGATAAATTCAGATTAAATTTGTAATTTTCTTTATCTCAAAAATTATCCAAAAAAAAATAGAGAGAAGGAGAAAGAATTTATTTGTGTCTATTTTTAATCATTTGCAATACGAAATTTGAATCTTTAAAAATATACTTTTCTTTTTGGTTGGGATTAATTCTGAGAATATTTATGATCTCATGCCATGCCACGTATGTTTTTTTTCACTGCGTTGAAAAGAACTTGGATGTTAAAAATATTCGCATTTATACAAAGTAATCCCGATTTATAGAATACGCTTTTGGCGAGATCGGATTGAGTCGTTCGATTGCAGAGTCCGTAGCCATTTTTGTCCCATGTTTCATCAAAGTCGATTAATTCGTCTATTAAAGCGCGTGGGGCTTTCCACGTGCGAGGAGATTGATGCTGCTCATGCTCGAATGTAATGAGGCACGGTAAAAAGAAAAAAAAGTCAGGGACATCTTAATGCATTTTATTGCATAGAATGATTTTTAAAACAAGTTGCATAATGTAAATGTATAAAGATGGTTCTTACGGACGTATATTTTGTAATAAAATAAAGATATAAAAAATATAGAGATTTTTATAATTTTTTTTTATAACAGATGCATAAATAAAATTTAATAATATACTATGTTTTAACACTATATTTTTTGCTGAATTCCCAATAATAATATTTCAATAATAACATACATATTTTTTTTGAATTTCGTAATTAAAGTATTATATAATAATATATTCATTTTGATATGACGTCTTAATTGTTTGAAATAATATGGAAAATGAATTTTGCAGTCTGTAATGATTTCCATCACGACGTCGAGATTCTCGATCCTAGTAAAGTTTTATGTAAGAACCGGATGTAACGTGAAGACAAAACTGACCAATCATTGGAATCTTGGCGGCTTATGCAAGGGGTCGTTTACGGATTAGACGTCTCGCGAGTCTTACGCAAATCCGAGCGACAATTTATCGCCCGACAGACGGAGAAGCACTATCGTTCAATTATCGATCTCTCGGTGAAATAATAAGAAACACGGGTATCGTTTTCACTATCGTTGCCGATTTAATTAATATAACTTTGGCTTCCTGTACGAGGGAATGCGAATAGTTTTTTCTTTTAACTTTTATTGTTTCGATGATTCAAGTTTTATATTTGATCATTGCGTGTATTCAGTATTGCAATCACGGTCTTCTCGTATTCGCGACGAAATCGAAAGGCATTCATGAAATTACGCCGCCATCAAAATTAAGCCATGCGCGCGAAAACGCGTCGTTGTCGTTTAGCAAATCGTAAACCGCGGCACGGCGTGAAATTGACGATGTTTGTGCGCAACAATAAGAGCCGATAGAAAGAGAGAGCGGGGGAGGCAGAGAAAGAGAGAGTGAGAGAGGGGCGGGGGAGAAAGGGAGGGAAAAAGAGGGAAGAGGCGTCGATTTGAGGGGCGGAAACCGCAAAACCGCAAACATCCCCCGTACGGCGTACAACGGCCCAATCATATCATTACCTTTTGCGGTCCCGTCATTCTGACACCTCGTTTCTGCTCGTCGTTTGTCATCGACGTTGCACTTTGTTGTTGTGCCGCGCGCGACCGCGTTTTCAAGAAACGTGCACTTAAAGTACCGCCGCGATTGAACGCGGCCCGTAACGCGCTCGGTGGTTTTCCTGACCGCGTATAAAAAGGGGAAACTGTGGCATCCGATTGGCCTCGCGAGGCCTGAGAAAATGGTCAGCGAGATTGGTGTGATCGTAAATGTTGCGAATCACGAATCTTATTCGCGGGATTTGACTTTGCACTATCTAAAAAACGATCTTTGTTTCGTGCGCTTTTTCAAACGTAATCTATTCGAAATCCCAATCTACGATCTCTCATGAATCGCGTTAGTCATTTTCGGATCTTATTAGAAGTGTAAAAAGGAGTCAGAAGAGCTTTCAATACGGCTGGGAGAGCGAGCGAAAAATCCAAATTAACAATTACCGCGCGACGTTGCGTTAAATCGATTATCCGGTGGTGGACGGTCCGTGGTGCTGCAGGGGATAGAGTCCGAGGAGGAACCGCGCGCGCGGCAAGTATTATAGAGGCGATAGAGATATGGACAAGGAGAAAGTAGAAAAAAAAGACTACTACATAGGTAAGACCACACCGCGGTGGTGGCGGGCGAAAGGGGTAAAGTCGACGGGACTTTTTTTCGCCTGGTCGGTACCTTGCTCGGTTCGTTCAGTATGGTGGTTCGGTTAGGTTGGCGCGGTTGGCGCGCAGGAGAGTACGTTGCTCGCGGCGGCTACGTCAATTTGTCGAAATTCGTTCCGAATCGTTTTATGTCCGCCACGCCGCGAGACGCGACCCGCTACCATGCGCACACAACGCCTCCACCTTGCCGGCTACCACGTTCGCGCCGGTCCTTCTCTCTCTCTCTCTCTCTTTTTCTCTCGCTTTAACCTCTTGAGGGCCGAGACCCCTCTAGGGTTTCATCGCCGTCTTTGAAATTGTATAACCCCATAGGACGGGGGACGAGCCGCGAGCTAAAAATCCGTGTCAATGGTCACTTTTAACCAACGACGTCGTCATATACAATCCGTATATGTATATAGAGGTGTAGCCTATTTATATAGATATATAGTCGCGTTTAATGATTTATTTACTTGCAAAACTTTCTTAAGGCAAAGATTTTATATCTTGAAACTTTTTACCTTTATTGATTATATTATCGAGACTGAATACCTTAAAAAAAGATAAAGAAAATTAACGCGTTTGAGAGATCTAGTTGCCATGTGTAATTTTAATTCGATATTTTAGTTCGGTGTAATTTGTTGAATAGCGCTGTCAATTTAATACTCTATATTCGGTAACATTCGTCTCAAATGAACGTGCATACAAATTAAATGCGTTGTTTTGTGGAAATTTACTTTGTGGATTGTATTTAGATTATATGTACACTCTTATCACATCTCTTGTCCACCTGTGTCTCTAATTTACATACGACTGATCGTTTGACAAATTCTAAAGTAAAATGTTAACGATACCAACGCAAATTAGAAGTTGATGTAAGCTTCGTTTAACTTCAAAATGACGTCATTTGCATTTGCATAGCCGCAATGGTAAATACGTCCGCCTTTTGCACGTTGCTTTAAGGTTAAAATTCACATGACCGATGATTTTCAATGTAATGTTAAACAGAAAAATTTCTCTGTGAGCGTTACTGAAAAATAGCTGTATATTATAATATCAACAAGTAAATAATTCCAGAACGTCACAGAATTGTGTCAATTTTAAACCTTGATATTAAGTCCCAGCTTGCAACATTGTTGCACAGACACCAGCCTAATCTTATCTTATCCTCGTAATGCTGCATTGGTAAGCGTACTTTACGTGTAACACGCGCTTATTGTTAGACGTACAAAAGAATATTACCATCGTATTGAGCGGTATAATCTTTTCCATTTTTTGATCTTATCTTTTTTTTTGCTTTCTTTCACCCCCTCTCCCTTTCTCTTCAATTATTCTAAGAATTCTCTATATATTATAATGCTTTTTTTGCTGTACTTTGTATTTTTATTAGATTCTAATTATTAATGCAGTTATTTATCAACACAATTATTTGCTGCTTAGTTTTTCTCATTAAAAAGACAATAAGTAAATGGATTTTATTTAAATAACTCGTATCGATTTGATTAGTAACTAAACTTTGAATGATATCTTTAGACGCATGTTTGGACCAATCGATACAAAGTAAGTTGAAATTAACTTAACAAAAAGCAAGAACGATTTGCGACTCTTTTCATTATTCAGCATACTCTTCCCATTGCATTTATAGTTTTCCACGAACACACATGTTATTTTGTTCTAGTTGTTTTTGGTAAGGCTTTTGGTAAGATAGATCTCCATTCTTCGTTATTTAATTTCATTTTAATTTTGTCATTGGATGTACCTATATCTGTGCGTGCTCACGAATCACGAATAAATCATGAATTGAGCTAATTGTAAGGAAAAAAAGTAATAGAAATTGAGTAATCTTTGAATACGGCTGATATCTTACAGAAAATGAAATATAAAATTATTACACACACGTAAAACACTAAAACTCACGGAAAAATGTTGATGTGAAAGAAAATCGTATAATATTACTAAAAACGTACAATATAAATATAGATAAGAATTTGTACATAAGTATAATATTAGAATAAGAACAGAACATACAGAATTGCGATAGTTAGCTGTAGTGTTCGGTGTTGTTTCGCGTGCTCATGTATAACATTGTTCTTCCGCGTAACAAAATGTAGGGAGCGAAATCTAATGGTAGTATGAAGGCGGAATCATTTTTTTTCCACGCGGGCAGCAACGAAGTAGTCCCCTGCTTTTCGGTTAAGCGCTTCACGCCGGATTTTGCTTCTTCTGCCACCACGGTTGTCCGAGTTAATTGCGTCCTCGTAGCGCTAACAGGCGGCCCACCCCGTCGGTCACGCGCGGATAAGAGAAAAACGCTACGCGGATAAGAGAAAAACGTGCGGCCGGTCTACCGCCGTGTGGACGAGACTTTGTGTCGATTCAGATTGCTTTTTCGCACGGGCCACGCCTTGACGATTCGAGAAACGCTATTTACGGACATCCGGCATACGGACATTCGGAACACTCGCGAAGAGACCTCTTCGGCGCGGGAAACAGGCTTACAATAAGTGTGTGAGTGTACCATTCTAGTGTTTTAAGACTCTTGTCGTCGCGAGCAAATGCATTATTACTGCACATTTCTTTACGGTACACTCGCACGGATCTGCTAATTATATCGATCTCGATTAATTACATTCGTGAACGCCAAGTTTGTTTCGCTCGAGATTTTCGCGCCTCCTTTCGCAAGCGCCGACGCTCGTTATATAATATCGCGAGCATCGGATAATAATTTATCGTCTCTTCGTAGAAATGAATCGGGCCAGAAGCCGTCGGCCAGAAGCTCGAAAGATTGTGGAGTTAATTAGCATGCCTACCGAGATCGGCGCTGCTTTGCGAAACGGCGCGATGCGGTACGCTCCGTTAGCATAATGCGTATCTGCCATTCGCGCACTCATTCGCCTTGCGTTATACCCGTTATCTTTAAGCGCATTCTCTCACTTCTTCTTTCAGACATCCCCTGTTCCCGCTTCTCGCACTCATATTCGAAAAGTGTGAGTTGGCAACGTGTACACCACGCGAGCCCGGTGTAGCCGGTGGTGACGTATGCTCGTCAGAAAGCTTCAACGAGGACATCGCCGTCTTCTCAAAACAAGTAAGTTTACAAAATATTAAATGTATAGAAAAAAATATTTATATATGTATATATGTAGAGATATGTGTATAAAGGTACATCATGTCGCATTGACGAATCGTATTTGTGCTGTCGTAATGTACAGCAAGATACTACCGTGTCTCCTGATTATCAAATTTATGAGTTAATAGACTAAATTAATAGAATAGCTTATCTCAGGAATTAAATTTATATTAATTAATAAAAGATTAATAAAGGATATGATTGAGATGATATTTTTGAACTATAGAGACTAACTTGAGCGGTTTAAAAATGAGATGATTTTTTAAACAGTTACAACAGCATAGTGATGAGTCGAATTTTAGAACTCCTTGGTATGTTTTAAAAGATCTTTGGACGAAATCTTCATGAAAATCTTAGCATTTTGTTCGGCGGACTGTCGCACGATTCTTCCGTGAGAGAATGTCCCGGAGGGATTTTCGGACCTTCGCACGAAGAGTGAGTCACGAGGACGCGCGTTTCGTCTCCGTCCCGAAACAGTAGATTCACGCACGAGACTCGCTAGCGTGTCTTAAGCTTCGAAGAAGAAGAACCCTGTCTATCCGTGGGACTTATTTTTAGGATTACCGTTGAGAGACCCGGGGCCCGGGCATACGGGCTCCGTTCTAGCTATACGAGGCAGAAGACTCGCTCACTCGCTCGCGCGCGTGAGCGCGTTTTTTCTCTTCTCTTGCTTCCTATTTTTTCTTTCCCTTTAGCGGCTCACCTGAGGCAGGTCCCCCCAAGGACACGCGTAGGTAACTCGAGAGCCTATGGGCCGCATGCCGTGAAACGATTTGGACCTTTTAAAACATACCATTTCGCCGTCTGCGTGCCAGGTCGCGCACGTAGGTCTGTTCGAAGGTCTCTGAAAGTGTACCGGTCGAACGCGCGTTTCCGCGTGTTTTCTACAGCTAATTTACTTACCACAGACATTTGCATCGATAACATGATATACCATGATTAGAACGGATAATGTTATTTGATAGTAGAAAAGTGTCGAACGAATATTCCATATCTAAAAGCATATTTTCTTTCTGTGTCATTGGGGTGCTTTAAAGTGCTCTACTTCAGAGATATATTGAACTAATTAACGATTTACGTAACTAAATATTGGTATGCTGAACTATATAGTACCATGTATAGTGCTATGTGAATAATAAATTTTCTTGATACGAAAAGCGCGATTCGGAAATAAGTGGAAAATGATATTTTGAATGAAACAGAATGAAGAAAATTCATTCACTTCTGCCTGCAGCTTTTTTACGTAATTTTTTAGAAATGTAGCATTCACGACAGCACATTAAGTCGAGGCGACAGAACGGGCAATAAAAATGTTATCGTGCTCGTTTGCACGATATGGTGAAACGATGCAAACGAATTCAGCACATTTAGATTGAAAGGTATCGGACCCATTACGACTGCATCGTTAGATAGCTGTAACCTCCAGTTATTTTCACGTAGCATTATGCGTTTTAACCGATACAGTTTTTAGGATTTTATATTATACATCATGTCTCATTAATTAAAATTCTCAATCGAGATATAACAGATAATACGTTTTGATGTGTGTTGTTAAACCGTGTCGTTGTGCACAATAGATATACGATCGCGAGAATTTTCGCGAACGCTCACGCGATCGCGCTCACGCGTCATATTATCACTGGAAGGAAAAAAGAAATTCGTCGAGACTTACATCTAAATATAGGGTGTCGGTAATACGGTAGCAGTGGCTTTGAGCAACGCTATGCTGAGATAACGATAAGAGTTAAGCCTCGGCGCGAGGTAGGATAAGGTGGCGACCCGTATGTATACATTATTTTGTCTTGTTGATGCCGAAAAGCACCAGACGATAAGAACGCTCCAAATTTCCGGCGTATCGAGATTTTCGAGATAATCGAGCGCGTATTGCTTTTTTTTTCTTCGATAGAGAAAGCGGAGTGTAGTGCAACTCGCGAAAATCGCGAATCTCGTGTTCCTATGTTATTTATCTAAGAGCGAGCGTCGACGTTATTACACTGTGTGTATACCGTCGAAGATATCCTGGCGGCGTTGCGAAACTGACATGATATTTGCATCTTAATAAGGCACACCATAAGGTGCATTTCAAAACGCGCGGAAAATAATGCTTATGACTACGGGACGTTTATTCCGTGACGATGCCGTGCATGTATATCGCCTCAATATGATGCCGCTTTTTACTCGAATATTTTCCTTTTTCTTTCTCGGCGTCAAAGTTAGTTTCGATTAAATCCATGGAACATCGAGGTAGAAATTGACAGTCATGTAGTCTTTTCTTCTATAATATCTGGCTTTTTAATAACGATAAATTAATAATAACACAGTCAGCAGGAAAAGAAACAGATAGGCACCTGGATAAATGAAAGTAATGAAGCTTCTGAAAGATAAAAATTGGTGGATTTTGTTTTACTTGTATTCAGAGTGTATATGTATATGATATCGCCAAGTAGAATATCTTTGAGAGATTATAATTAGTTTACATTTATTGTTAACTGATATACTCGACTATCTCAATCAGATATTCTCGCGTTCTTTTAACATGAGTAATACATTAATTTTTAGCACTTACACAAGGTTCGAAAATTCGAAGATTGTTTTCAATTTAACATTATCAGTTTGTTACACTTGTCAATAATCTTTTTAACGACTTAAAATTAGGAATATTCGTAGGATAATTATAGTTTTTTTTTTTACACGAGAACGCGTCTCAGATGTATCGTACATCTCGGCAAATCAACACTTCTCGCAAGCATCGATATTCAAGCGAACGTTGCCTTTGAAGGCCGTCACTAGGCGCGTAGATCTCTCACGCACACGCGACGATGCACGTCGGCAGATAAGCAGGTGACAATCCTCTTGCGGCGGTTTCCGAGGCGTGCCGTGTGAGCCATGCCCTCGTATCCCTCGGTGTCCCCTTCTTGCCCCGTGTATCGGTACCGCCGCGCGCCGCGGCGATAGGGCCATACGACAAAAGGGCCGCATGCTGCGCGCGGGATTATTTCGCGTTTCGTTGCGTGCGTACCATACGTGCGTGCGTGCGTGCGTGCGTGCGTGCGTGCACGCATGCGCCATAGTTGCCGCGAGACACGGCGCATGCGCGCACTTCAGTTGGGGCCCGACCACGGCGGTCGTCGAGTCGTGAGAAGCACCGAAGCGTGGAGAGTCGAGCCGTGGCGATGGCAGTAGGGGGGCCGGAGAGGCGTCGAGAGGGGCATACGATGCAAGGATGGGAGTGGGGTACTGCTCATTTTCTGCCATTGTAAATTGATCTATTCAATGGGTCCACTATTATCCCCCCCTGCGGTCCACGCATCGTGTGCCCTATGGGGCCGCGATGTTCCAGTCTTCCGTGCCCCCTTCTGCCCTTCTACGTTCGCTCTCTCTCCTCTCCCTGCCCTCGCCAGAGAACTTTCATTCTCTTTCTCTATCTCGGTTCGCGCGCGCACTCGTTGCCTTCGACGTCGTTGCCTGGCTGCAACGTGCCATCGGTTGTACCCCTGCTGCGCTACGTTACTCTGTGCCTTTGTTGCACCTTTTTTCATCCGCCAAAAGAGGCGCATCTCGCTTTTTTTTCGCGATCATCTCCGGCGACCGGGTCGAAAAATTTACTTGCGCTTCGTCGCCTCACGGCCGTGTGCATCACCTTTACGTGAATCTGGCCGGTCAAATGAGCGTCGCGATGCTCCATTATGAATAAAAGTTCTTGATTTCATATTTACCCATTTACGAAGATTCGATTAAAAAAAAATTTGGTTTGAATAAGGAAATCAATGATTAATTGCGCTATAAATTATTTTGCCGCTGTTTAACGAAATTTTACGAAAGATGATTAAGCATATGTATACGAACCTAAGAAAGCTATTTATATTCTAAATAATTTAACAATTTTAAACTATAACTTATACATGCACATACCGCTAAGGTATAAATATTGGTATAGTACGAGTATATTGCTACTATTAGTCATGAACGAGATATTCTTCCTCTTGAATAATTGTGATTTGAACAATGAGTCGAAACACTGCCAAAGCACTGAATATAGAGACGTGGGCGTACACTCATGATATCTCGATTCCGTGTGATGCTCACAAACACATGGAAAGAAAGAGGCGAGCGAGAGAATCGAGAAGAAAGATCCTGTAGCGATTTATTGGTATAATTAGGATGCACCTATCTCTGGCAGCATTAAACCCTCATAAAATGCTATTCCATTCCATTCCATTCCATTGATGGCGATCGCTAGATGAATGCATTCTATTCAAAGCTGTCAATTCATTCTTCTTTGACGTTTATTGACTTTTTTCTGCTTAATTTCATAACTTCGAGACCTTATAAAAATGCTGTAAACGCCATTATATTCATTAAAATAAATTTTTACATTGAGAAATCTTTATGTGAAATCATTCGTAATATAATGTGATTTAATTGAATCAACGATGAACCGTTGATTCTTAAAAAATATACTGCACCATCGAGATGTTTTGATTTTAAGATTTGAGATCAATTAAACGAAACCCTGCATGTAAAACTCGCTAGTGTAAATAGGTTGTATTTGAACCGGTTTTCCATTACCTTGATGTTATGAGTTATCGCAGATGTGTCATCGGCAAATTAGACTATATATGATCATCAAATTTTTATTGAAAATTTAATTGAATGTTAAGATGTAATAAAAACAGATATGTTTAATAAAATTTTAAATTAAATGTTTGATATTTTATTAATAAATTTATAGTAGTTGAGAAAAGTTACGGTATTTTTTATATATTTTTATGTTATACAATATTAAATGCATATTGTGTTGTATCGAAAAAAGTCTTATTTCGGTTAATGTGATAATTAAGACTTTGACATTCAAATATTTATGAAACGTAAAACAAAGTACCAGGATCGATTGTAAGTTTAGTTTTCTAGAACTATTTCAAACTTCATTTTCGACACATTTCCCGTTTTAATTGTTTCACCAGGCGTGTATACGTTTAATCCTGTTGTTACGAGCCGCACGACTATCGCCGGCGGTCTTGCCGTGTTACAATTTTGCAATTATCGCGTTCTAGCGTAAATATCTCCCCGTTTTGACGTGTGCTACCACGCGATAGCGATCACGCGGTATCACGCGCTCTGCCGGTTCTCCTCCTCGGGACTCGACGGTCGTGTCATGTCGTTTGCAAAAACACGTGCCGTGCAGTCATTCGTATCACTTAGAATCATTCATTGGCCCTCACTAATTTAAATATCGAATTCATTCGTATTCATTGTATGCTTTGTAGTTTACAATCATGTCAATTACTATACTGGAAAGAGTATTTTAAAAAACGGACGTTAACATTTTGCATAGTTTGAATAAAAATATTGGAAAAACGATAGCTGTAAAATTAATCAATTTTCTGTTACGTATGTTTCTACTTTTAAAGTGATTATAAAATATTCGTTACCGTTGAACGTTAGAGCGAATAAAGGAAGATTTACATCTGCAAATTTTGAGGGACAGTTACAGTTTTTTCACATGTATATTGTTTTTTTAGTATGCTCAAAATTTTGGAATCGTGGACCATTTGTGCCATTGTGTAGAATATCCTTTCTCTCTAACAATGAGTATGTTTACCGCCAAGCAACAAATCCTTATATGCTTGTCGCATTTTCTAACATGCCGTACATAATGTAATAATAGTGCATGTAAAGAAATTTCGAAGATGTTTACTTGAATCTACTATACGATTGTAACAGCCCTGAGAGAAATCGCTAGTCGGTTTAAGAAAGTCAAATATCTTTTATGGTTCGTGTGTTGTATGGATCAGAAGAAATCTTGTCTTTTGTCTTATTCTTTTGTTAGAACGTTCCTGTCGAATCCCAACATTTGAAAAAGTGAAAGTAATAATAATTCTTCCTTAGTTCAGCTTTAGAAAACTCAGATAAATATAATATTTGGCATTACGTTACTATTTTTGTATTAATAAAAATTATGATATTATCGCAATATGTATTATAGAAAAAAAAATTGAAATAATGAAAATTGTGGCAAAGAACACTCAAATTAATTCCTTATATTATTTCTATTTATTTCGATTTATTTAAAACTTATTCGCACCTGATGTGAATATTAAATGAAAAGCCGTTCTTTGAAGCTTATTAATATGTTATACCATTTAGTATTTAATATGTTGAAAAATAAATGAAAAGAGAAATTAGAAAATTTTTGGCCCGCGTGTCACGTATTCAGTCTACTTAGAATTCACCAACTGCTCAGAAGGGAAGGGTTTTACGAAGGGTTCGAGGGGGTGGCAGCAATAGCAGAGGCAAGAGAGCAGCAACAGCAGCAGCCTCCAAAGCAGCTGCTTCGTATATCTCTCGGCAGGATCGGCGCACACCACGTACGCCATACGTGTGCGTATGTATTTTCCTTCATGTGGTGTACGTGCACACGAGGTCGCCCCGAACAGACACCCCGCGTGCCGGAACGAGAGCATTCTCTAAATATTATCGCACAATATTTTTACCGCCTCCGCCGTGCGCTGAGTTATGCGCCTGACAGCCAGCAAATGCTGACGTTTCTATACGCATCTATCGATGTTTGTTTTCTCATCGAACATCCTCGCACGAACGGTCGATTTCCTCCGCCATCATCGCGCGATGATACCGCGCTTTTTCCTTCTATACGGAAGCATGTATCGCGTTATCACTGTTTCAGTAATTACTGATTCATTAATGGATTATTTTTTATATTGTTATACAAATCATTTTCTTTAGTAAGCTAGACGGAATATATTGTGCAACGATCGTAAAGAATTAAACGCTGACTAATTTCGTCAATCGTTTTCCCGATTCTCATTTACTTTAGACATCGTGGATCATTTTTATTTCACAAATTGTTGCCTACGTTTTGTGTTAGCATATAAACAACTGCGATTTTCGGAAAAATTGTGTGCAAAGAACTAAAAGCAAGAGGAAGGGACACGCAGAAAACAGAATAGGCTGTTTACAATTTGTAATCTTGCCTACCTGCGTGGCGCTACCCCGCCGTTCCGAGACCGTCAAAAAAGCGCGATGACAGGGCTACGTAAGAACTAGCCCTCCTTTCTTCCTCCCCTACGAACAGTTGACAGTATTTTTGTCGCATGAGACGCCTTCATTATCTATACACTGCAACAGGAGAGCTCGAGGACTTCAATTCAGAATTCCGGCTCATGAATACGCGCTCTTGCCTGGGAATTCATGCGTGCGGACAATATTTCATTATCCGAAGCTTTTTCTCTCATAGAGAAGCGACGCTTCTGACTAAATCTCACATTTCTCGACTCTTTGGATACTCTTTCGATGCCGCGCTGACAGAGAGAAGTCATTCAATCTATCTGAGAAGTTTCGCCGTGTCTCTTCGGGGCTGTTAACACTTAACATATTCATCTGCATGTAATGCAAATAATTATATTATATAATCATTTTAAGAACCTTGCGCTAATTTTTTATAAAGTAAAAAATTAAAATGAAACACGGAAACAAAAAAAATATAATATATATAATGTACCCATTTCTTTTCTTATTAATTTATTTTAACAAATTATTTATAATTAGCGTTTCTTTACTGATAAACGTAATTAACTCCACAGAGGAAGAGAGAAATGTAACGATAAGATCTAATCTGATCGTTATCGACTCGAACATTATCGTTTCGATGCGATGTCGAAAAGTATCTGTCCCATAGATTCCATTGAAGATGCGTTAGCGCTGCCAGTGCTTTTTGCCTTTTATTATTGTAAAATTCGAAATACGAAAGTAATTTTGTTTCCGTTTTGATCGGCGCGCTACACGCGGCGCCATGAAAATGCTTGAGAATCTCACCGCCTCTTCATTTCCTCTATCGCCGTCTGCCTTCTCGATTTGCCGCCGGGATTCCATCGCGTTCCCCGACGCGTTTCCGTTTCTGTACGTACGAATTGAACAGTAGGGGTCCAATTAAGAGGAAGCACGCGAAGGAAATCGCTTAAAGAAAAGAGGTGGGAATATGTAGTGGAAGCGGGGAGGTATGGCGCGGGGTTTCGTTGTGCTTATGTGTGCATCTCTATACATATATGTATGTACACCGAGATGATACGATCGTCCGTGTAGCTTTAATACCGCAATTACACTGGATCCAATTATTAACGCATTCATATGTGTGTCTCTGTGTGTTACAGATCAGACAAGAGAAGCCGTACTACATTGCGGATCCGGAGGTGGACTCGCTAGTGAGTATTTCCTTATTTATTTATTTGTTCGTACATGTAAGCGCGAGGCATCCGTTGCGTCTCTCGATATCGCTCGCACATCTATAACATGTTATATCGTCTGATGACGCTCGGCACATCAGACGCTTCTAATCGCTCGTTTTCCCGTCACGAAGATCATTGTAAAATTCGTGCGAATTTAAACGCAAGAATCACGAAACACGCTCATTCATTTCGCTGAGACATCGACGATTAATTATGGGAGCAATTAAAGAAGAGGATGCTTCGAGCGAGCGGACCGCAAAACCGCATTATCCGATTTAGCGGCGTGTAAATAGCGAGAAATCTCGTAGTCGCGTTTCGTCTTCCCTGACGAATCCGGCGCATGTCTAATCGCTCAATTTCATCGAGCGATCGCCCGTCGAGATACCCAAATACGGTCGGCCGACTTGAACAACGAAATAACGAGCCAGGAAGTAAGGTTACGACGCGCGAGTCAACGCCAGGGTTCCACACTTTTTTCTCCCAGCGGGTAGAATAATTAACGGAGCGTTATCGTTGTGCGCTTCCATCCGTCGTTATTCCGGTCGGAACACGGATTCGGAGTTTCACGAGGGCGGATACATTTATTATGTGATATCTGAACGATAAAACAACGTGTCCCACTGTCCAGAACAAACCACCATATGCTATATTTTTTTTGTTATTTACTAAATGTAGTTGAAACTATCTGCAATTACCCCAGATTTTTCTTTTATTATAACAGGTAGAATAAAAAAGATAAATGTACAGTTTCTTTATTTGCTAACTAAATGACAATAGCACAGTACACAACGATTCGATCTACTGGATAGATATATATTGTATAGTGCTGTAGCTGCAGAAGGTCAATAACATTATTATTAGGCGTAATTCATGACGTAGTAATTAAAGATCTAAATAATATGTAGGTAAGATTGTATATAGTTTTGTTTTCCTTGACGAGTGAGTGGCCATTTCATTCGAAACTTCGACGGAACATAGAGGAAGAAATATTTTAGACGACCCTTCATGCTCTCCGATCGAGATAACGAAGTGGAATGGGTTTTTTAAATAACTTCGAGTGTGTATTTTCTCGTCGGGCAGGAACGAGCACACGCGGCTTCGCGGCGATGGTTAGGGAGACTTAGGACTGATCCGCCATTACGGATTCCTCGAGGAGTCGTTACCTTCTCTTATCCTTATTGTGTTCTGCAAGATTTTTTATAAAGAATGTGAAATAATTGAAAAGTGATTACGATAAATTTGAAGTTATTTTGTCTGAAATCTATTTGTACGCAGAAGTTTCTAGGTATTTTTTTAGTTTAAAAAAATAATCTGTTAACGTTGAGACATAGGCATAATTAAAATAAATATATGAAATAAAATTTAATAAGTTCAGAATAAATTAAAAATACAATTTTCAAAATTGGATTAATAAGAATTTGATGAAATATTTGCTGGAAAATATTAAAATAATGAATTATAGAATTGTATATGTATATGGGAAGAAAGATTTAATAACGAATTTTGAACTTTAATAAGGAAATTATATCTATCATTAATGTACCTGTAAATCAATACGTATGCAGAATTTAAAATTTTTCTGTTTGTCTTTCAGAATCAGTGAGTTTTGTTTAACAAGAATATATTTGAAAAATGTATATTTTTATTGGGGTTATGTGTGGCGATCGTACCTTTTATCGTCATTATTTTTTGTGAAAATGTTTTCGGCTTTTTTCCTCTATAGACAGTTTTTATTTAAACATATACGAGCACTATATTTTTCAAAATCAACATGTTGAGCTAATGCCAAATTGTTGTTGCGTTTGTTTTGATTTTTTATATGGAAGAAAGCAAGACGGAAAAATGGTGACGAAAAATGCATTTCGTTGACCGTGTTCTCGCACTGTTGCCCACAATTTTCGAAACGTCACGTCCGTTACCTGGCTTGTCACGACCGTATCGGGTCACAAATATTCGAGCCAGGCGACACCTTGCGTTTGCGGCTACCACTGTCACAACTGTCGACTGACCTTATTTAAAAATATTAGCATAGATGTAGGAACCTAGATAGTAATAAAATATTTTGTTTGCTCACTTACAACACTAATGCAAGGTGAGAAGAGGAATAAGTTGAAAATAATGACATCTATTCAAAAGCACGTTAATCTATAATTGTTATATCAAACACTTAAAGAGTCTTTGGAAATCTTTCTAGATTTATTAAGCTATAACTTTTGATCTAAGTTATAAATCACGTAAAAATAAGTTTCATCGTTGATTGATGTCTTGACTTTTGCGCCATGAGGTCGGAAGTGCCATCGGCATTTGCGGCCGTTGTCTTTCGTGCCAATTGTGCGCGCATTGCTGTCGGCTATCCCCGACGTGCATTTGCAAAAAGCCGCCCCTGGCAGGTGTTACGGGTAGTAAATCGAGGGAGTTAAATGGGCTCGGCGGATAAAAATTTTTGAATCGTCTACCACTGTTGGCGCGGCCAACCTGTCGCGGTGTAGCGCTAGAGGTACATCTCCTCGGGGCTGGTGCACATTCGCCGTTGTATTCGCCTGCCGCCGCCGCCGCCGCCGTCGCCGGTGCAGTCACCATGAGCGTAGTTGTTTACCGGTTGCCGTAGGAAGGCCGGCGGAAGGTGGCGTGGCTTCATTACGTCCGTGGCAAATCGCAATCTACGAGCAATGAGCTTCTATCGTAAAGAAGAGGCACGTAACGTTCGCGCTTTTTGCCTCGTCCACTTCACCCTCTTTCTCTCTTCCTTCTACCGCCTTCCGTCCTTTGGACCTTCCGTTCTCTTCCTTTTCGATTCTCTCGAACCCAGGAGTTCTTTTCTCCTCATCCTCCGGCCGTCTTTCTTCTGCCGCGTTCTCTATCTCCGAGACAAAGATCCCTCTCCTGCGCTCTACGCCAATCGAGTGGAGCTTTTTGCTGATAATTTCGCAGAACGGAAAAGTCACCGAGTAAGATTGCTTTCCGAGCCGAGTGTGGTGAGACTCTACCGTTTTCTTCGCCGGTTGTTAGCGCTCGGTAACGTAGTGAAGAGATAGTTCTGTTGGTTCTCTTTTCTAGCATTTCCATTATGCACGGCTGAGTGAGCGTGAAAGTGCTTCAAGTGCAGCAAATTCGGCGCAATCGTAATCACTACTCTGTGATTACTACGCCGTGCAAAATCAATGTGGATAGGGAAAGTCCAGAACAGAACAGAATCTCAGTTGGATCGTCTGACGTTGATTAGTACTGATATAATGAACATCCGTAAAACAACAATATTTCAATTTGTCGTGCTACGACAACATGTACAGAATCCTCATTAAAAAAATTATTTCAAAAATGAAGGTCTCTTCAAGCGCGGTTTCATATGTTCGAGGGAGCGACACGCTCTCAGACGACTCTACGCGCGTTCCGGTAAATCGCGGGGAATTTCCTGATGGTGCTAAATGGGGAAACCGCGTGAGGAGACACCACGTGGGCGGACAGTCCGGCGACCCGGCTTCTTAGTGCGCGTCGTAAACGGAACGCGGGAAAGAAAGACGCGGCGAGACGTCGTGTTTCGCGCAGCGGAAAGCGGTAAAGCGAGCAACGCGAAGCGACGGGCTACTAAACTGTACGCTGGGTGCGAAAGGAAGCCGACTGTGCAACGAAGAGAAACGCAGAGGGCAAGAAGCGGACGGGGAGGGGGGAGGAAGAGAAGGATGGTCAACCCTTCTCGCGTACACGCGCTTAAATAATATTCCCATTAGCATAAGCGAGAAATGAGCCAATGAGATGCTAATTGCCAGTCTTGCGTTTGGAGAATAATTATTATTGCGGAGGCATTCTACTCTCTGACCGGACGTTGGACCTCGGCTTCGTGATTTACTCGTGGCGCGATGCGGTGCACTGCAAGAAGCGACATTAGCTCGATTATTAATTTTTCAGATATTAATTGTATAGCACACGCGTACACGCGCGCGTATGTATGTGTGCGCTCCACGATTCATCGTTTCTTGCACAACGCGCTAACCCGGACGTTGTTAGTAAAGATTTCGTTTTGTAATCTCTCCCGGAAAGTCCGCGGCAGTGTCAAATCTGCTCTGGATAACAGATACGGTTCCGCTATCGAGGTGAAATGTTTTCTTATCGTGAGATTAATTTCAAGCTGTACTGCGCCAATACATTGCACTACGAATGTCAAAATATTTTTTTTCCTCTTTTTTTAAATTGCCCGCAATCTAAATCATTCATTGAAGCACCGTTGTTTGGCGAGCACGATAAATTACACGACGTTTTTACATATTGCGTCAAATTTATTTTACATTTATTTGCATCCAAACTTTTTTTTTATTTTTGATCGTGTAAAAATTTTTGGATTTGTTGTGCATATGTTACACGAATTGCATCATATATTTCAAAGTCCAAAATGTTTTCTGATAAAAAAATTTAGGAGACTCGTTAATCAATAAATTTGTGATCAAAATCAGAATTGTATATTAACGATATACAAATGATTCTTTATAGACTTTATAGAACTTTATTTTTTTATGCGTTATCATTTAATAGAATTACATAGTGTCGTGTAGAATTACAGCGATGTTGTTTCATTGCATGTCGGTTAGAGGATTAAATGAAATTACAGAATGTACTTTGACTTGTGATATAAATCGTAATAACGGAGAGTCAAGAATATGCGCCGCAAATATCATATAAAGTGAGGATCGACAAGTGATACCTTTAGCATCCTTCTCGCCGTATGCGTGTTGTCGTGACTTTAGCATGCGATTAGCGTGTTCCCAAGGCTCGGTTGCTGCGGGCAATAATATCGCTGATTATTGCAATTTTGTTGCAATCTCCGTCGTCTCGCTACCACCGCGCCGCGCCGCGCCGCGCCGCGCGCCGTCACCGTCGCCGCAGCCGCCGCGAACTGCGATATCAAAGGATTGCCGTTCGTAATCAGCGCGACTTTCGCACAATTTCTATGCGACGAGGGAGAGTGTTCGACCCGTATCCGT